TGTTGTTTTCTTCTAGGCAAATCCAGCTTCTTACTAGAATATATAAGATTCTCTAGGTGTGCTCCCTGGACTTGCCTAGATGGCCCCCTGCATTACTTCTTACCTCTAAGCCATTGTGCTGTGCCCTCTACTGGCAAAACCATTCTGTCCCACTTTATTTAACTTCTGGTGTTTCCACCAAGGCTCATTATCATTCTCTTCAGGAACCTTCCCTAACCACCTCCTCACATCCTTGTTAGAAACTTCTTTAGATGTGCTCACATAGTATTTGGTAAGGATGTCTTACTTTCCACATAGTGATATAACCTTAAGTCTAGCCCCAACTAGACTGTGAATTTCTTGAAAATCAGGACTGTTTTATTCATGCTTGTAACCCTAATATCTACATAAGACTTACAGAAGATGCTCACTGTGTGATAAATAATTTAATTACTGACAGATTCTGGATTCAGAGCCACAGTACCAAGTTCTCTATAGTCTCTCATATTCCCAGCAGATGGTACTGTTCTCACTGGGGGAGAGAAAGAATCCTCTGATTACTACTGTAAGAAGAGGTCACTTGACACAAATATGGTGGGACAGAGAAATGCCAGAGAGGAGAAGAGAAGAAAGTATACAAGTTGACAATAATGCCTGACCTCCCCATTTAGGGAAAAAATTCCAATTCTGGCACTGACACAGCAGGCCTGAAGTCCACTGAAAAAACCTTCTATAGAGATCTCCCAACTCTTCATGGACCCATTAGAGAGATTACTTTTCCTTCCAAACTCTGGGTGCTCACTCAGGTCCTGAAAATCGTCTTGTCCATGGCACACTCCTTCTCTGGAGGAGTCCAGAGATGATTAAGTGACACTACCTCTGTGGCTGAATCTGGGGAAAAGCTCAGGGCTCCAGACTTTAAATCCAGTGCTCTCTAATGATGAGGCTGCCTCTAGTTGAGTTTTCCCTATTCAAACCTAAAAGGCACTGTCTTGCAGGGTGGATGCTCAAAGCAGCTCACAGACCTGGCCCTGCTGAGGCTGTGCAATGATGATCTGCCCAGGCTGGATGGTGGTTGTGGAGCTGGTGGTCTGCTGGCCTTGTTGCTGCCCCTGGACTTGGACGGCAGTGGGCTGCTGAGCCAGCGTGAAGTAGTACTGGACGGGCTCAGCAGGAGTCACAGACTGGCGCACCTCCTCCTGTGGGGTGGAAGGAGAGGCAGGTAAGAGGAAAAGAACTGACTCAGCAACCGCCACAGTGAATTTCCACTCTTCCCCAAACAGGCTATGTGCAGTTGCCTGCTGAATGCTGAGCTTTCCACATTTGAAGCCAAAGGAAAGTGGAATTCGAAGAGACCAGTTGTGCTAAATCAAACTAAAAATAACAGATTCTATAGGCTTCACAAAACATACAGCCAATTTTCTGAAGTACTGAGTAATCATCCATTCCATGACAAGCTGCAAACAGGCAAATAATTACCATAACTGAACACCCTGCACCAGAAGCGCTTGTCAGTAACTGCTGTCACGGCCTGTGACTGAGAACACTGCTAACTGCCGGCACTGGGAAGATGCTACCCAAACACCATGCTGCTTAGGCTGGGCCCCATCTCCCAAACAGACAGCACTCTTCTTATTTTGCTCCCACCCACTCAGAGACACTAGAGTAAAGGGGACCAGGGTGTTTCCTGAGCTAGAATTTCAGGCTCAGATGTCAGGTTCAAGAGGACTAGTAGGTGAGTGCTCAGCTTTTCCCAGCACATCAAAAGCTGTGGTCACTGAGTGCATGTCTATCCAGCGTCGTATCTGGTTCTGCTTGTACTTAGCCATAGAAGCGCAACCCAGGGGGCTTGATGGACAGCTCTCCGCTGGGGTGCTGCCTTGGCTGACTAGGGAGGTCACATTTTGTCCGATCTGCCGAGTGAGGAGACTGTTCCTTCTTCAGCTGATGTTTTCCATGGCAGAAGGAGTAAACAACCCTCTCCCAGCCACCTTGAGCTCACAGCTGAGAGTGTAGGATGTTTACACACACTACAACATGGTTACAGCCTAGAGGTTCTGGGGTTGGTCAGCCCCGGACCACTGACACAGAAATCGGCGTCTGATCCGGAGTCACCTGTGACACGAAGTGCCCCTGGGACAACAAAAACAACAACACATACAACCTCTGGGACAAGAAAAACAACAAAATGGAAAACCATGTGGGCTGGCTGAGTAAAAATATTAGCTAAGTTTATTCACTTCCCTATTCTGAATTGTTTGCCATGTTTTAGAAAAGAGAAAAAACATAGTTCTACAAGGACTGGCAACCCTGTGGACTGCCTCAAAGCTCCCCAAAGAGATTCACAAAGTTAGAATTGACCTCATACCCTCAGCAAGCTAGGTGCCAGAAATGTGCTTCCACATTTCTAGGTATCATGTTCATGACCTGTTTTTGTAATTGCACGTCAAATTTAGCCTGTCCTGCTAAAAATCTAAGTCCTATGAGGGCAAATACTCTCTCTCTCTGGCTCTCTATTGTCCCCACCATTCCCATGCAGGCACTCAATAAGTGCTGGCTGAAAGATGAGTGGATTTACATATATAAACACACAAAGGCAGGAAAGTACTTTTTTGAATCCAAGTTGGTGGTATGACAAATTCTCTTGACCTCTCACAGCTGTTGCTAACAGAAGAGTCCCTAAACTCTCTTTTGCTATCTTTAGGATTCTGTGGCCATAATGTGTAGACAAAGCTGGTGTTCCCTGTAGCACAGGGCTGACTATTCTTTCCCTTGCCTGGTGAGTGGCATACTAGAACTAGGACTGCAGATACTAGCATCTCAAGCACTTGGGTCTCTGTATAACAAGGTTCCCTGAGGTTCACATACCCAGACTATAGCTGTATTCATCACCTTCTGGGTAGCTAAGCAACTCCTTAAACATAAACTGACCACTAAGGTTCTTATGTTTTATGCCTCAGACTCAGTTTTAACTCTCAATGTGATCATGCTGAGGTAGAAGAAAAGGGAGATCCCTTTTATTTTCATCTAGGTCTCAATTTCTAGAACAACTTAATGACAATCCCAGATCCATTTCAACCCCAACTTTTTATTATTATAAACAAAGGTCAAGGCCGGGGATTTAGCTCAGTGGTTCCGCCGCCTGCCTCGCAAGCGCAAGGTCCCCGAGTTTGATCCCTGGTACCAAACAACAACAACAACAACAACAACAAAACAAAGGTCAGTCTGGCAACCAAATCTTGGCAGTAAAACACTGATATCCTTTTAAGTCATAAAACTGAGGCCAACTGCTTTTTTCAAAACTGTTGAAATAGGTTCAATGTATTTCCACAGAAGTCCCCCTTCCTACTTAAGTAAAAACACAAATTATAAATCCTGACCTAACTTGGGAAAGCTCTTGGATGATGAGAAGGTATTGTATAGAGGACTGAGAGGCTCAGCAGCTCGCAGGAAGTCAGGTAACATGCGGACATTGGCATTTACTACCCCTAACCTATGACTGTCTATCTCTAGCTGTCCTTGGCAACAGCTGATCTAGCACTAAATATGGTCTTTCTACCAGACAAAATGCAAACCCTTTAAATACTTCTTCTAGAAGCCAAAATACCCTTTGCCAAAAGTTATGCAGGCAGATAAAGAGCTTCTCCTATGCTTCATATTTTGTTCTCTTAGATGGTTGATGAACTAGGCAGTGTCTAGGACACCAAGTAAGTATCAAGTAGAGGTTCATAGGTTTGTGTTGCGCTGTGAGGAAAAGGCATGACGTTCTCAAAGCACTGGGATGAAGGAGGTATATCTTAGGCTCTGCATTATGAAGACTCATTATTCTACCAATGGAGGTCAAGCCAGCAAGGGAATGATTAAGCTTGATTTAAGCAATGTGTGAAAAGCAGTGACATTTCAAAGGGCAGGAACTCTCAACTCTTAGCTGGGGCAGAAGTTAGACCTCAGTGACTTTGTACTTTCAGTCTTTACTGCTTCCCCGAAAACAAGTGAGATTTCCAAGCATGTCTGAGAAGTCAGGGGCTTTGACCCACAATTCAATATTCTGGCTAGTTCCTTCTCCCAAGAGGGCCATGTGGCCCCAAGCACTAGAACAATCCCTGAGTGTCTAGATCAATCCTGAATGGAGGACTTGCTCAACTTTAGGAGAGGCCTCTCCGATCAGAGGGCTTTGTCTTGGAATCTTTTCAGAAGCTGAGCCTGAAAATGCCAGAGAATGATCAGTATCACATCTCAGGGCCATCACAGTGTCGTGCAGCCAGCCCCAGACTGGAAAAAAAGTACATTCACTTTAATAGCAAGAGCAAACTGCTGCCTCCTTCAGAAAGGGCAAGTTTTGGAGAGTAGGCACTTTTAAAGGACTTTAGGAGGTGCCAGCCAATTTGGAGCTTGAGAAAACTTCATGTCTACAGAGGACTAAAAATGTTACCTTGTAATTTCAGGCCATCTTTCAGCAATCTTAATCTTTCAAAGGCCAAGCAGCAGCTGTCCCAAATAGGATGCCAATCAATAGCTTGAACACCTACAAAGAACTAAATCCAGGCAGGAGGAACTGTTTCAGCTAGACACACTTTAAAAGGAGATGGATCAGAGCATTTTGAGTCTGACATTCCAAGAGAGCCAGAAGCATTGAGAACTGTGGAGGAAATGATAGGACAAGACCCCTTTCTCCAGCTAGTCTATTTAATAGGCAGCTCACAGAGAATAAGGAGTTTGCACAATGAAAGTGAGCAAGGCCTAATTTCATTATCGAGGTTTCCACCTTGTTTTTAAAAGGAGATTTGGAGGGACACATGGAAGAAAAAAATTCCAACAGGAAAAGCAAGTATATTATTGCTCTGAAGGAAGAGAAGTGTTCTGAGTTCTTGCTGTGACTTCTCAGAGAGGAGGGAAGCACCTCAAGAGGAGGAAATCAAGCCCATGGGCACAAACCTGCAATGTCTCAAAGCCGATGTGCAGCTGGGGATGACCGTGGCAGCCTGCCGCTGTAAACATCCGACTGAAAGCTCCTCTGAACACTTTACAGCTTCCAGTCAAGGATGTTTACAGTAGCAAAGACTGCCCAGAAAAACAGAGCCGCAGTGAGGCACACCCTGCTTCAGAATAAGAAGGTGACACAGGGTTTGCTAATCCTAGGCCCTCATGCAGGGTCAGAATTAATGTCAATTAGGGTGCTCACTTGTCCAACACTTTCTCTGACTAGTTATTAACATGGGCCAGCATGGTGAGAATAGGGAGAGCAGTCATCACTGGATGACTCTGTTTCTGAGGATAATACACTATGAAATAATGTTAAATTTTTATTAACAAAATAAAGCAAGCAAAACAAGAAACAGCTTTGCTCCTGCAAGACTGCTACTGTTTCCCAAGTGTTTCCACTGCACCTAGTGAGTCATGCAAACTGTATGCCTAAAACAATGAGCTATATGTATGGAACAGGGGTCTGTTACATTGTAATTAAGAGATATACACACCAAGTGCTGCAAAAATGATCCGTGTGACCATTGGAGAAGGACAGGCAGAAGAAAGGGGCAGGCAGGCGGACACATTCTTTCTTGTGATTGTCAAGAAAACAGTTTAAGTGGTGGTTCTCAATTCTGGCTGCACACTAAAAGCATCTGGGAGCTGTAAGAAGTACTGATGCACAGGGGTCAGCAGCACAGATTCCAAATCAGCTGACGGAGAGGGAGCCTGGGATTTGTTAAACCCCAACAGGTGTTCTCATCTGCTGCCAGGGCAGTACAGAAAGCACGATAAAGAGTAAGAGAAAACAAAGTCCACTCACTCCGAATACCACTGGGCACATGAGAAGCTGTTTCTTAAAATCTGAAATCTGTAACTCATGAGAAATGTTCTCATTTCAGATTAAGAACTCTGATAAGACCTCCTAAAATATTCTGAAATGTCCTTCACCTCCACTGTTTGTAACTGAAATCTTTTTCATTTTGTCTATTTTCACTGAAATACCACCTCAGAGACACTGAGTTAAACGTAGCCATAGATGAGTAAGAGAAGACAATGTTAGGGATGGCTGTGTACTATAGAGGAGAAGCAACAGGAACAGCAAATGCCTTGTGTGGAGAGAGGGAGGAAGCACAGCTGATGGGAGAGCACCAAGGCTCTGCAGCCAGCAACATGACAATGCCTTCCCCAGCTCACCTGACGCTTTGGAGGTTTCAGTTCATCTCTTGGAACAATATCGATGAGAAAGTCAAACTGATCAAATTTTGTTATTGCCATGGCGATATCATTCCTCTGTAACAACAACAACAAAAAAAGCAGAGTAAAAAATTGGCCTTGGGAGAAACTAGTTTACCCAGCTTTATACCCTCCAAGTAATAAATGGAAATGACTTTTAAACTAAACTAAATATCCTTGGATACATCTATAGCTAAAATAAAGACAGCCAAATTCATCAACTTCAAATTAACAAATCTGGTGGGGAAAAATCAACAACAAAAAAGAGAGACACAGGTAGCTCCTGTTCTAAAATGGGACACTGGAGCTTCCAATTACTACTTCTCCTTTCTCCCACAGCCCTCCATGCAACTGTGAAAGTATTAGCCTCCATCTGAATTAGGACAAATCTGCCAGTTCACTCACTCTTGCCACACATTCACATGCATGAGAAATCGAAGAAGTTAAGATTTGTAGTGTGGGGGCCGGGGATTTAGCTCAGTGGTTTGGCCATCTGCTGTGCAAGCACAAAGACGTGAGTTCAATCCCCAATACCAAACAACAAAAAAAAGATTTGTAGTGTGATGCCTGCCTGCCGTCAGCGCAGGCACCCAGGTTATAAATGAAGATAGTCCACACTAAGTTCAAAACAAAAAGATGCTCCAAACCAAATGAAAAAGAGAACTATAGGCCAATCTCCCTAATGAACATAGATGCAAAAATCCTCAATAAGATACTGGCAAACAGAATGCTCAAGATCATCAAGAAGATCATACACCCTGACCAAGTGGAATTCATCCCAGGATGAGGGGATGGTTCAACATGAGCAAATCAATAAATGTAAAACACTGTATTAATAGAGCCAAAGACAAAAACCATATGATCCTCTCAATAGATGCAGAAAAAGCATTTGAGAAGGTCCAACACCCATTCATGATAAAAACCTACAGAAAACTGGAATATACAGTCTTTATCTCAACCTGATAAAAGCTATCTATGAAAAACCAACAGCCAACATCATACTAAATGGTCAGAAACTGAAATCCTTCACACTAAAATCAGGAACAAGACAAGGAAAGACGTCTACTATCACCACTCCTATTCAATATAGTTCTGGAAATGTTAGCCACAGCAATTAGATAAGAGAAAGAAATAAAAGGAATAAAAATAGGAAATGAAGAAGTTAAATTGTCATTATTTGCAGATGACATGATTATCTATATAGAAGACCCCAAGAACTCCACCAAAAGTCTTCTAGACTTAACCAAATTCAGTAGAGTAGCTGGATACAAGGTCAACACACAAAAATCAATAGCTTTCTTGTACATGAACAACAGACTCACTGAGAGAGGAACTGGAGAAACAACTCCTTTCACCATAGCATCCAAAAAAAAATAAAATATGTAGGAATCTAACCTAACAAAAGAAATCAAAGACCTCTACTCTGAAAACTACAGCACTCTGAAAAGAGAGATTGAAGACCATATCAAAAAATGGAAAGACATCCCTTGGTCCTGAGTAGGAAGAACCAATATAGTAAAAATGGCTATATTTCCAAAACTGCTATATAGATTCAATGCACCCCCAATTGAAATTCCAGCAGCATACTTCATGGACCTTGAGAAAACAATCCAAAAATTCATTTGGAACAAGAAGAGACCTAGAATAGCAAAAGCAGTTTGAGGCAACAAAGACAAAGTAGGGGATATCACAACTCCCAATGTGAAGCTATACTACAAAGTCACTGTGATAAAAACAGCATGGTACAGGGCCGGGAATTTAGCTCAGTGGTTTCACCGCCTGCTACGCAAGCGCAAAGACCCGAGTTCGATCCCTGGTACCAAAAAAAAAACAACCCAGCATGGTACTGACAAAGAAACAGACCTGAGGACCAATGGAACAGATTAGAAGATGCCGAAACAACTCTAGACACACTCAGCCATCTCATCTTCAATAAAGGAGCCAAACACCCTCACTGGAGGAAAGATAGCCTCTTTAATAAATGGTGCTGGAAAAA